AGCAAAGACAAGCTAATGTCACACATTTTGTTCAAAAAGTCAAAAATCAAAAAAAAAGAAAAAGCCTGCTAAGTCAAAAACATGAAAACTTACGACTTAGGCAAAATTAAGACATCCCGCTGGACTATCAATTCAAAAGAATTAGTTCAGGCAAAAGTTAGGGAAAATAAAAATCGCAAAGAAAAGGACTGCAAAGAAAAGTCCTCGGCAAAGAACAAATTGGTGACTACAAACACGAAGACATGAGGTTGGTTTCTACTCCGAAAGCCTCGTCGTTTCCTTGACCATCACAAAATCCTTTTGAGAGATGAACACTCATGTTGAATTAACTGAACATAGGATTGGAGAACATCATGAAGAATGGGTGGACACCAAATATTTTGAGCCTTAAAATCTTTTTTTCTAAAAACCATGAACCAGACCACGTTACAACCTTCAAAAGTCCTAATTGAAGCAAGGTTATTTTGAAAGCATACTTCAACGAGATAGTGTTCCTGACTCCCACGAATGTTCTAAATAGTTATGTTGGTATCATATGTTTTTCCTATACAAAAATAAATGGTGCTTTAGCTCGCAAAATTTGTGCGATATCTTTCAAAATCTTCAAGACTTACATAACTGTTGCATTAAAATTTTCATTCTCATTGTAAACCTTTTCTAACTGCAAAACATTTGTTTGATATCAAGGAAGCTCACATAAGCACCAGTGATGAGTTTATTCTTTTAAGGCTTGAAACTATGTTGAGTAATTGGCGAATCATATGCAGGGGCATGTTACCTGAAGACTGTAAGCACGAACATGTTGCTTCTCCCAGTTAATGCTTTCCCAACTTGTTTACCCTTTGGGGCAAAATTTAAAGACTTTGTTGTGACAAGTACAGTCAATCCGGGGCAATCACATCGAGATTCGACGAATCTTGCTAAGAGTTTAAAGACACCAGGGCATGGTGGATGCCAGGTCTTTTGTAAAATCCTCTCGAGACGATTTCTCCTCGTCAGCCATATAGCTTGGGGCATTTTAAGTGAAGTTATTCGCAAGAAATGTCGTGCAACATGCAGCTTATCAGCAGTAAACTTGGGGCATCCAAAATTAATCCCAGGGGCAATCCAGATTTGTCAAGATATGTTTTTCATACATTATCAGAGGGTGGTGTTCCCAGTATCTCCAGCTAAGCAAGACTTCTTTCCAGCTGAAACTTTGTTTGTGTTGTTATCCTTTCAATGGATTGTTTGCAATAGAAGACTAGACTTTGGGTTTTCTACCTGAAAATATCTTCCTCTCCAGAGATATTTAAGCCTTGTAAAAGGACCTTGCTCCAATGATGGCCTGTGTTTTATCTCCAGTAATGTTCCCATCCTATTGAGATTAGCCGAGTGTCGAGCTGTACTATGACGTCTTATCATCTTCAGTCTATCTCCTCTATTTGTTTTGTCAGCATATACATGACATTCATTTATTCATTCACACTTGCATCATGCATGCACGGTTGTATTTGTTGATGTCATTGAGTTCGTACACCTTGGTTATGTCTATTCAAACAGCATATTTGATCTTTCCAAATAGAGTGTCAACTTAAGCAGAAAGTGCGCCTCTTTTCTAATTCCCCACTGAGTTAACTCTCGTGGAAGAATATTGCTTTAGCTTTCCTTTTCCATCTCTGGATAGGATAAATCCCCATTTGAGTTGTTTCCTCATTGAGTGGAGTCTTGTTTGACTATTTTCTCTCCAGTTTATTCCTGGATTGAGCTTTGTCTCTTGTGAACGATACCCTGTGGATCTCTCTAGGCTGTGAAACCTAGATGGAGAGTGCATTTATTTTGCAACGTAAATACTTGGTCTCCTCAAGAAGGATTTATTCATGGTTCCCCATTGAAGATGAACTTTATTTCCCAACAGTGTTATCACAACCTTCTTCTGGAATATCGACATGACAATAAGCGACTGACTCTTTATTTGAGCAGTTTGATTATTTCTGATTTCTCTACGACAAATGGCGGTCTCTTCATGAGCAGTTTGTCCATCCTCGATGAAATTATTGATTCTCACCTCCAGCAATATCTTCATGATATTTTATGGGTATCTTTGAGAAAACAGCAAGCGGCAGTCTCTTCATGAGGCAACTTGTGTTATGGATACTCTTGACAAACAGCAAGTGGCGGTCTCTTCATGAGCAACTTGTGTGTTATGGATACTCTTTACAAACAGCAAGCGGAGGTCTCTTCATGAGCAACTTGTGTGTTCTTTTTCTCTTGAAAAAAAACAAGCGGCAGTCTCTTCATGAGCAACTTATATGTTGATACCTTGAAAGAAACAGCAAGCGGCGGTCTCTTCATGAGCAACTTGTATGTTATTGTTACTTTTGGAAAAAACAACAAGCGGCGGTCTCTTCATGAGCAACTTGTATGTTATTGATACCTTTGAAAAACAACAAGCGGCAGTCTCTTCATGGACAACTTGTATGTTATCAACACTTTTTTGAAAACGGCAAGTGGCAGCTTCTTCATGAGCAGCTTATACGTTAGTATTATTTGGAAGACAGCAAGTGGCAGACTCTTCATGAGCAGCTTGTGTGCTTTGATATTCTTTGAAGACAACAAGTGGCAGCCTCTTCATGAGCAGCTTGTGTGCTTTAATATTCTTTGAAGACAGCAAGTGGCGGTCTCTTCATAAGCAGCTTGTACGTTATTGACACCTTTGAAAGGAAGCAAGTGGCGGCCTCTTTATTTGAGCAGCTTGTGTATCCCCAACAATAATGTCTACTCAGCAAATGGCATCCCTTTCGGAAAAGTCCCGTGGAGAAGTTTGTTATTTTATCCTTTTCAAGCGATATCTCGGTTAAAGAAGAAATGTGTTACCGTTCTTGGTAAAATTCAGAAATCAGAGATGTTTATCTCCAGCCACAGTGTTGATGTTAATCACTTTCCAGTCTTAGTGCTGATGTAAATCATTTCTTTTCCAGTCTCAACACTGATGTAAATCATTCAAGAGTCTCTCATTTGAAGTCTATGACTTTGTTTCCCCAGTGGAGGTACAACCTCTTCCTCTGTGGGATTACTGTATAATGTGTTTGGTTTCTCCAGCATAGTCAGTCTCATATGACGTCATTCCCCATAAAATTCAGAGCATTACATTCATATCATATCATGAACATAATCGCGGTATCTTAAGGCCAAAAATTGGGTATTCTATATTTAAGTCCCTTCAATCTCGTCGAAATGAAGATCCCAATCTTCATATCTCCAGATAGAAGAAACTTAAATAGGGGCAGCTGTTGTACCCCAATTTTTGACCTAAGATCCCATTTTTATTTTTGCATAAGTCAAGGTCACAAAATACGGTCGGTTTTAACCTCTCACCTTCGAGCTTTGACTATGCGAAGATTGTCAAGTGTTTTGAATATTTTTAGCATATGTATCACTAATTTCTAATCGCATACAAAGGTGTATGTTCATGTTTTCTTTTGTGTCATGTGCAGAGACAGGTCTGAATCAAGAGCATCAGGTGTCGCGCCTCAATTAAAGTTTTGAGTCTCCCAAGCCCGAAGTACGGTTGATTATGGATTCTCGAAGACTGATTCATCAAGGCACAACTGTTGCACCCTAAATTTCTCCCCTAATTTTTTCAGTCGCACATTCATACCATATTTTGTTATTTGGTCATGATCATTAGTAAATATCTTCATTCATCACATTTTGCATCATTAGTCGTATTTAAGTTGATCAGAAAAAGTCAGTTTAAATCAAAGTTTGCATCGTCTTTCAGTTGTAAAATACCCGGCATTTTGCTTCATGCATTTTTATCTATTTACTCGTTTGTTGCATTGCTCCAAGTTGTTTATATTTCAATAATAAAAATATTTTGGTTTTATAGACAGACTGTTAAAAGCGATTCGACACTATGCGGGAAATTAGCGAGAAAATATTTCAAGTTTTCACCTTTTACCGATCATTTTATGAATCTGCGTTTCGCATAGATTATGACGGTATGCTCGCTTTATTTTTTCGGTACAGTTCGAAGTCTCGTTTTTAACCTTAAACGTCTGTTTAGTCTGATATTTTTATTATTATTTTATTTTTGATTTTTTGACTTCTTGAATATTTTTTCTTTAATCTTCGTGACATGTAGTTTATTTTAATATGTTCATTTTATTTTATCGGATAAATTTTCGTCCATTTTTTATCGTTTTCGGTCATTTTGTGTCTTTATTTTTAATTCAGAAAAATTTCAAAAATTATTTTAAATTGATTTTTTTTTATATATAGTTTCGGGATTTTATTTTATTTTTGGTCATTCATGGACTTTTCGGTCACAAAAAAAAATATTAATTAGGTTTCGCTTAATTCTCATTGGTCGATAGCATGGTTTGCGGATTGATAGAGATTGAATTTATATTGAACGGTTGTGATTAATTTTGAAATCAAATTTTGTTTTTCATTTTCCTAGATAAAGCTTATTTCACTTTTTGGACAAGGACACCAAAAAAAAGATAACAGTAGTAATACTACCACTTATCTTTTTCTCTACTCCATAAAACAAAAACAATTTCTAAACCTTTTTTTCATAAATTTTGTAAATAGTTTGATTCAGGAAAAACCACAACAACAACCTACAACTTCTAGGAGCCAACATTCAAAGAAGTCAAATTCTGAGAACACCATTATCACTGTTTTGTTTGCTTTTTTGTTTGTGGTGTTTTATTTTATAGGAAAAGTAGAAATCAGAGAAAGAAGAACATTGATGATGATCTCTCTGTGCATCCAACACCTTCATCCTCCATTATCATCCCAAATCCTCACCATCCTCCTTTCCGCAAGCTGCACACGAACTACATCATCACCATAACCTTATCTCAATTCTGCGAGCCGAACCCCTTCCAATCCCCTTCGTAAGCATCGTATCGAACCATCGCATTAACTCCCTTCACCCTTTGTTCAACAACACAACTCAACACAACACAACCTGACCTTTTGAATCCAAATTTCCTCACATTGATTTCATTATGGCCGCCGCAACTCTCATTGGCCCACCTGAGATTTACACTCTGAAATCAAACCCCAACCCCACCACCACAACCTCTACTCAAACCGTCACCACTAACGACGGTTTCATCGATCAAATGGTTGCCAACTTCAAATCCATAGGATCTAACCGCCAGCCACCGATGGGGTTAACCGAGAACATGTCACCAACGTTTCTCTCAACAGGTAACCCTTGTCTAGACTTTTTCTTCCATGTTGTCCCCGACACTCCCTCTGAAACACTCGTTGAGAGACTCCAACTTGCTTGGTCCCATAACCCACTCACCACCCTCAAACTCGTCTGTAACCTCCATGGTGTTCGTGGTACCGGCAAGTCCGATCGCGAAGGCTTTTACGCTGCCGCTCTCTGGTTTCACCAACATCACCCTAAAACTCTAGCTTCCAATGTTCCTTCCCTTGCTGACTTTGGTTACTTCAAAGATCTCCCTGAAATCCTCTACCGTCTCCTAGAGGGTTCGCAAATTCGTAAAACTCAGAAACAAGAGTGGACTCAAAGGAAATTTGGATCAAAAAACAAATGTTCATCGGCCCCTTTTGGTCAAAGGAAAACAAAGAAGAAACAAAGCAAAAACAATGACGGCGACAACAAGGGCTGGAAAGGTACCGCGAAAGACTCTTTGATGTCTGAAGAAATGGTGGCCAGAGCTAAGGCTGAGAAACAAACCGCTCACGCTTTGAAGGAAGAGGAAGAGGAAGCGTTGGAGAGAAGGGGGCCAGTGACGACCACGACGAGAAAGATGAATCCGACGACGAAGAAGATGACGCCGCTCAAGGTGGTACTGAAGGTTCAAAACAGAGTAGAAGTGAGAAGAAGAGTAACAAAGTTTTTTGTTATTTCTCTCCATAACTCTTCTTTCCATCTTCTAAGACCGGTCCGCTTTCGGCCCATTTCGGGTCCCTTTTTTTATTTTTTTTATTTCAGCAATATACATAATCGTTTGGGCTTTAGCTTACCATTTAAGCCCAACGAGATTCTCACTATACACCCTCCATTTTGATGTTTTCTAATTCTCACACCAACTTTGTTAGTTATTTTTTTATTGTTAATTAGTTAATAGTAATTCTTTATCATAATTTTAGATAAACCTTAATCGGTTAGTTTAGTTTAGAATCAACTTAACATTTTCTTTAGAATTAGTTAGTAAGTTTAGAATTTTTATCAAGCTTAGTTAGTATTTTTTTTAGAATTTTATTCGGTAGTTAATAATTTTAGAATGTTTAATTTAGTTAATAACTTTAGAATGTTTGATTTAGTTTAGTTAGTAATTTTATAATTTTCATTTAGTTTAGTTATTAGGTTTTAGAATTTTAATTTAGATTTAATTCAATAATCTTAGAAATTTCAATTGTAGCTTAGAGTTAATTTTTGCTATATCTCTTTATGCTTGATTTTTTTTCTTCCGTCACGTATTCTTTATTATCATTCACTTGTTATCAATTTTTGTTTATGTTTATTCCTTTTTGATTTTCTTTTCATATGTTAATAAATTTTGTGATATTTTCGACTTAGTTCATTTTAATTTTTATAGCTTATTTTACTGTTCGTTTGTTTAACTCCAAGGGAAATGTTTCAACTCAGCTGACTTCATGTCATCAAATACATCTTCTACAATCGTGCGAATAGTCTCATTCATTTTTTTGCTTGTTTACTATTTTTCCAAACTTAAGATAATTTTCCCAAAAGACTTCAATTTTTAAACTCACGTCCCTTTTATGCCAAAACTTCGACACTAGGTCGTCGTATCTTCAAAATATTTTCCAAACAAATCATTTTTTAGCCAAATGAACCATTTTAATCAAACAAACAATTTTAACCAAAAACAGATATTTCAAAAGGTTCCTGTGGAGTACCGCAGATGCATTGGGTGCTAATACCTTCCCATTGTATAACCAACCCCCGAACTCTCGATCCCTTTCAAAAAACGCATTGTATTTTTATTATTTTTAAGTATTATTTTACATTGCATATTTTAAGGTTTTATTTCGCTCTTTTCCCTTTTCCCTTGGAAATAATAAAGCGCGGTGGCGACTCTTGCTTTTTGTGAGTCAAGTTAATTAATAGCTTGATCTCCAATTTTCACCGCTACAGGGATGCTATGGATTTACAAGCCTTTAAAGAAGTGTTGGCTCTTCTTATCTATGGGGTGGTTCTGTTTCCCAATTCGGACCAACTTATAGATGTGAACACAGTCAAAAAATTTCTATCTCGCAATCTGGTGCCTACTTTACTTGGGGATATCTTGCATTCTTTTCACACCTGCACCATGAAGAGAAGATGACTTCTTATATGTTGCACTCCTCTTTTGGCTAGGTGGTTTATTTGCACCTACCCCGATCTACTGTAAAGAACGAGCAAGGCTTAAGATGGTCTAGTAGGTTGATGTCACTCACATATTCTGATATCTATTGGTGTGCTCGATCTATGGAGGACATTACTATTATTGACCATTGTGGGGAATACCCTAATGTCCCTCTACTTGGAATTAGGGGAGGTTCTACCTAAAATCCTTGTTTGGCTTTGCGACAGTTTGGATATGCTAGGAGGGATGGCCCTTATGATGCACTTGTCCAAGGAATAGCATTTGACTATGAGAGTGATGTCCAAGGTTATCGTCAGAAATTAATACGAGCTTGGGGCATGGTTAACAAGGTTGATAGCAAGACATTGGGGAATAAGAACTCCATTCCTTTGGATCCTTATCTCAAGTGGGTGCGAGCTCGTGCTCAAAACCTCATGATTCCTTATGAAGCCATCTTACCTATCATTGTGGAGCCTGCCGCTGAAGGAGATGTTCTGTATATTGCCCCTTATCCTAACATCCCTACTTCTCTTGAAGATTTTAAAAGAGCTTGGATTCAGTTAAATTAAGAGCGAGACACCTTTGAAACCCAGTTCTACGCAAGTGAAAAGAAGGTTTTAGAGCTTACGAGACTGCTTCATGAAGAGCGAAGTTTGAACGCCTACATTGTGTCGAAGAGGATGCGCTTGACCTTTTTGTCTTAGGAGTTTATTTTGTGTATATTTCCTCCATTGTAAGCCCAAGAGGAGTGTTTGTAATCAATTTGAACTTATAATGCAATTGATGTTTGTTCCTTTTGTCTAAACAAATTTAAATCTTCTAAGTCCTTGAAATCATTTGCATACGCATTTTCATGCATCATAAAATAAATAGGTTTTCCATAACAGGTTTCCTTATTTTCTACTGTTTATTTCAAGAAGATGGATATCGAACAAACAGTGAAGGACCTGCAAGCACAGAATTCCCAGTTCCAAGATACCTTACTGACCCTAGCCAAGGGGAAACAAAAGCTGATGACTATGCTAGTAGCCAAGAAGAAAAACAAAAAGAAGGCCTTCATTAACATGGGTAAGAGGTTCAAAGGTCCAATTCGTCAGGTATAGATAGTCGAAGAGTCATCTGAGGAGGACGAAAGTCAAGATGAAGAGGCAAGGAGCATCCGTGCCGGGGGTGCCAATAGTCAAGTTTTCGAAGATGAAGACTACTTTTATGAGAAATATCCTCCAGCTGAGGATAAACACAAGCAGTTGAAGGATAGACTAAAGGCTGTTGAAATTCAAGTCGTACCTGGTTTGGATTTTGGTGAGTTGGGCTTAGTATCGGGGGTCATCATTATCCATAAGTTCAAAATACTGATCTTCTCTAAGTACAACGGGGTTTCCTGCCCGAAACTTCATCTAAGGTCTTACGTACGCAAGATGCAGCCGCACACTACTGACAAAAAGCTCTGGATCCACTTCTTCCAAGAGAGTCTGGCTGGGACTCAACTAGAATGGTTTTATCAATTGGAAGGTTCCCGCATCCACAAATGGGAAGATCTAGCCACTTCTTTTTATCACTAATATTAATACAATGCCGATCTGGCACCAACCAGAGTCCAAATTCAAGGTATGACAATGGGTACTAATGAGGGGTTCAAGGAATACACACAAAAATTAAGGGATCTTGCTGGTAGGGTCCAACCACCACTAACTGACAGAGAATTAGTTGACATGTTCATGGGTACATTAATTGGCCCATTTTTCAACCTATTGATTGGCAGTTCTTCTTTTGGTTTCACCAAGTTGATCCTAACTGGTGAAAGGGTCGAAAGTGGCATTAAGAGCGAAAAATTCCCATGACATCTGCTTCCACATCCAACGCTATAAAGAAGCCTTTCATTGGAAAGAAGGAAACAAATATTGTGTATGGGGTAAGGGCCCATACTAAGATGAATCACCGACCCTCTATTAATGTTGTGTTAATATCCAACCCTTCATCTGCTTAAAGACAATCATCCAACAATCAACAATCTGAAGCTCCTCGAAGACAGTTCACAAGGATTAACATGTCACTGTCCCAAGCCTTATCTATTGAAGGCCAACTTAGTGACATTGCGTGATCCACCACCCAATCCAAACATTTCATCACCAAAATACAATCCTAATGCCAAGTGTGCATATCATTCAAACAGTTCTGGGCATGAAATTGATCAATGTTGGGCGCTGAAGATCAAGATTCAAGATCTGATAGATAATAAAATAATTGAATTTAGCCACCTGCTACTCCAAATGTGATAACCGCACCAATGCCAAATCATGGCAAAGGTGTTAATGTAATTGATGATTCTACTTTTGTTCCCTCTGTTGAAGATTTAACAACTCCATTAATTACTGTGAAGAATAATTTGCTGAGAGTCAGAGTATTCCCTGGTTGTTCTAAAGATTGTGTTTGCTACAATCGACAAGTAAATGGGTGTAAGCGACTAAAGGAAGGCATGCAATGCCTGATAAATAGTCGCGATATTCTGTTTGAGATGATTCCCACCATCAAAAGTTTAACCAACAAAGCTGAAGACCTGTCCATAATAACCATTTCCAACAAGCCGCTTAGGATCCCCTCAAAGGGTCCTATCAGAATTTCAAATGAGCCAACCATTGCTCCTTTAATAATCACTGCCTCTGGGCCTATTCCCTACTCCTCTGACAATGCAATTCCATGGAACTATGGTGCCGAGGTTTATTATCATGGGATAAAATAAGATTCTTGGATCAACAAAGACGAAGTTGATGTCATTAGTATTGCAGGTTCTAGTAAAGTGACAAGAACAAGAAGGATCTTTTCCCCTGTTATTTAACCACCCACTACTACAACAACTCTCGTCCGTATAACCAATGACAAGTCTAGTGCCAACACTATAGGCAAAGATAAAGAAGGTGAGCCTGCTGGGATAGAGGCACCTACCAAAGATACTGACGTTGAAGAACCTTCCGCTCGAGAAATGGAGGAAATCCTGAAAATCATAAAGAAGAGTGACTTTAAAATAGTTGAGCAGTTGGGAAAAACTCCCTCCAAAATTTCCATGCCTTCATTGTTACTCCGCTCGTACGTTCATGCCCGGGCTCTAATCAAGTTCTTGAAGAACTCCCATGTTCCCCAAGAAACCACCGCTGACCAGTTCGAGAATTGCGTAGCAAGTTTAACTGCTGACAATGGATTAGGGTTCTCTGACACTGATTTGACTCCTATGGGAAAGAACCACAATAAATCCTTTCATAACTCTATTAAATGCAAGGGAACCACCCTGGCTCGTGTCCTAGTTGATACTGGCTCATGTTTAAATGTGATACCCAAAGGTGCTTTGGACCGGCTAGATTATGAAGGACTAGTTTTGAAGTCAAGGGATATTGTTGTAAGGGCTTTTGATGGGTCTAAAAGGATGGTTCATGGAGAGGTGCATCTCCCAATTAAAGTTGGATCAATGATTTTCAACTCTACCTTTTATATAATGGACATACGTCCCGCCTACTCTTGTTTGCTTGGGCGCCCTTGGATCTATGGGGCAGGGGCAGTAACATCCACCCTTCATCAAAAACTAAAATATCCAGTCAAAGGGAAGATCGTTACTATTTGCAGAGAAGAAGGATTTATGGTGAGCCATCTCAATTCCTTCAAATATGTGGAAATGGATGGTGAATTCATAGAAACTATGTTCCAGGCTTTTGAAATTGTTCCTCCTATGGTTGTCGCCACCAAAATCTCCTCTAACATATCAAAAGCTGATGAAGTTGTACCAAGGATGGTTTCACTTAAGGATGCTTGTGCCATGGTCGAAGATGGAAACTGTACTATCTGGGGCCAACTTCCCGATATTCCATTTAAAGCAGACAAATTTGGATTGGGTTTCACCATCAAAGCTCAGAAAGAAGTCTGGCGCGCTCGCATGGGAAAGCCACCTCTCCGCATCAGAAATCATGAAGTGAATGTTGTGGAAGACTCTGATAATGAAAATATTTTTGAAGATTGGATCTACCCTACTGTCAAAGGAAAGCTCAACAACTGGCATGCAAAGGATTTCACTCTCATCTCTTTAATTGAGGAGTAATTACTGCTTATTGTTTTCTGTCATTTCAAGAAACTTTTGTCTGTAATCTTAATTTCCAAACAATGACTTTTAAAGCCATGTGCCTTACCCCGGGCACTATGGTCCATTTGTTAAGGGTTTTGTTCATGTTCATTTATCATATGATCATTTAATATAAACCATTGGACCTTTAGAATTCAAATTTTTGTGTTCATTGTCTTTATTACATTTTTTAATAGCCATGTATCTTACATGCACACATGCACACTTGCAGATCCTCATTCACTCCAGATCTCATTGCCAACGACTCTACTATTGCCAGTTATGATTTAGAACATCCAGTTAACCAAGTCGAAGACGAAGGCGAGACAGATTATGAAATACCTGGAGAATTATCCAGGCTTCTAATGCAAGAAGAGAAAGCTATTCAACCTCATGAAGAGTCGGTCGAGGTTATCAACTTAGGTACTGAGACAGAAAAGAAAGAAGTCAAGATCGGCGCCAAACTAGAAGATAGTATCAAGAGCATATTGGTTCAGATGTTACATGACTATGTTGAAGTGTTTGCTTGGTCGAATGAAGATATGTCTGGATTGGATACCGACATTGTGGTTCATCGTCTATCAACAAAGGAAGATTTCTCTCCTGTTAAGCAAAAGGTTCGTCGTATGTGGCCAGACATTTCTGAAAAGATAAAGGCTGAGGTAATGAAACAATTTGATGCAGGTTTTATGGCCGTCGCATCTTATCCTCAATGGTTTACGAACATGGTCCCCATGCCAAAGAAAGATGGAAAGGTTCGCATGTGTGTAGATTATAGGGATCTGAATAGGGAAAGCCCCAAAGATGATGTCCCTCTACCATATATTGATGTCTTGGTTGACAATACTGCTCAACATAAATTCTTCTCCTTCATGGATGGATTTTCTATCTACAACCAAATCAAGATGGCTCTCGAGGACATGGAAAAGACTACCTTTGTTACACAATTGGGCACCTTTTTCTACAAAGTCATGCCATTCGGATTAAAGAATGCAGGGGCAACATATCAAAGAGCTATGGTAGTTTTGTTTCATGATATGATTCATCTTGAAATAGAAGTCTATATGGATGATATGATTGCAAGGTTGCAAACCGAAGAAGAGCATCCTGGTCACCTACACAAGCTATTTAAGAGGATAAAGAAGTAAAAGTTGAGGTTGAACCCTAATAAGTGCACATTCATAGTAAGGTCTGGAAAACTTTTAGGTTTTGTCGTCAGTATTAAACGCATCGAAGTTGATCCTGCAAAGGTGAAAGCCATTCAAGAAATGCCAGTTCCCCATTCTGAAAAGGAGGTTAGAGGATTCTTGGGTCAACTTAACTACATTTCTCGTTTCATCTATTACTTAAATGCTACTTGTGAGCCAATCTTCAAACTCTTGAAGAAAGATCAAGTAGTCAAATGGAATGACGACTACCAAGCTGCCTTCGACAAAATCAAGGAATATATGCAAGAACCTCATA